TTAGCATCGTAATTAGCTAAAAAAAAATGTAAAAAATTAAATCTATACAAAAATATATCTAGACATAAAAAATACTCCAGCAACTAATTGGAAACAAAATAGTAATAAATATACAATAATAAACAATATTAAGGGAGAAATGTTTAGTAAATAGCCACTAGCCTGAAAATAGCTAAAAATGAGTTGAGAATTACTATAAATGGTAAAACTTACAAAAAAAAAGGGTTAGCCACAAAAGCTACAGACACTGAAAATAACATTAGAAACATTTTAAAAATATTTTTAAAAGCTGTTAAAAATGTGTATATTTATCCAAAAGATATAGTCCTCACAGTTGCTATAAGATAACTCAGCTAAAGGGAGTATATAGAGAGAAATTGCTAAGAATAAATTTGCAAAAAAATATGATGTGATCCTTATTCTAAAACACTATTAAATAATAATAATAAAATAACATTAGTATTTAATATCAAATATTTTCGATTTTACTTAATTTAAATTTTTCAAGTCCAGTGAGAACCATATGTCTGTCTTTAAGAAAGCTAATTAATATTCTGCAGCAGATGTGCTGTCTGTTCATCATTTAACACTCAGACAAATGTGTTTTGATAAGACGAGAAAGAACCAATGCTTAAAATCTGGAGGTGAAATATGCAAAGCTCCGCTTCACGATTGACTGTTTGGCGTCCGTGCAGATGTGAGGAGAAACTAGATGATCGACTGTGTGTCTTCACAGTTCAGAAAACGATCCGTTTATTCACTTTTACCACATAAAAACAAGAAAGTTTTATCGTCCGTCCAAATGGCAAATTACTGCTCGACTTCCTGCAATCAACAAGATCACAGTGTCTGTGAAAACACAAACAATCCCACACACACACACACACACACACAGAGATCCGAAGCAACAGCTGTGTTTAGATCCTGTATGATTAGAGTCTTTGTGTGTGTGTGTGAATCACAGAGCTCCATCAGTGCAGATGATCACTCTCATGTCTGCTTATCCTGCTGCAGCTCTGTAGACTGACTGACTGAGAAGAACACTGAGGCTCAGGGTTTTACTTTCATAGCAATTGTTCAGACTAAAAAATATTTTATTATTATTTAAATTGTAAATGATGAATGTTAAGATAAATGGTTTCATCATTTTCATTATCTATTTTTTTTAAATTATTTTATTATTATTTAAATTCTAAATGTTAAGATAAATGGTTACAATTTTTTTTTTGTGCTGTGAAAGTCGGCAATAAAAAAAATTTTTTTTTGTGCTGTGAAAGTCGGCAATGCATGCACTTGTCTCCAATGTCTCTTTAACGTCATTGACCACTTACCATTGGATTGTTGCTTTTAGGCTGGAGAGTGGTGCGAGCCAATCACGTTGCGGCCTCCTAACGAGGCCTCGTCCACCCCAGTGCAGTACTGGCAGCATCATCCCGAGAAGCTCATCTTTCAGTCTTGTGACTATGAAGCCTATGTGAGTATTAGTAAATTATGCAAATCCAAATGCATCGGCTTGAATACATAAATGTGGGAGAACGTGATCTTGCATTCAAAGATTCCAAGTGTAATTCCGTGTCTCCCTCACTTGTCTTTATTCACAAGCTAATGTGTCACGTGGTAAAAAATCAAATCACTTCCTTTCTCCAATTTCCCCCTTGACTAGATATTAAGATTATTGTATAAAAAGCTAATCATAGCAGCTAGGTCGCACTAATGGGTTTTGCCTTAGATTAGGAGACTGGAGTGTACTGCACCACTCTAGACCCACTGGATAAATACAGTGACAACTTCAAATCAAAAATAAAATTAAAAATTGACATATAGACAGCTGACATGGGATGTGATGCGTCCCAAGAGTTCGACCCATCAGCCAACAAAGGAAAACTCTTTTATGCTGAGAGAGGAAATTCATGCATATGGAACATAATCGTAAAAGTAAGTGGAAGGTTTTACAGAGGCGTTTGTGACAACATCTCTCCGAGTCAGACTCAATATCCTGGGACGACGAGCTCCAGAAAGTGAGATGAATGAGCAGGAGCCAGAACAGAAGCGGAGGCAGAGTACTCAGAGTGAAAATTGGCAAGATAAAGGAAAAACAAAGAGCAAATATGAATAAATTAGACGAGAAAGTCACTGATGAGGAAAAAGACACCAGTGTTTGGTGTTTCCATTACCGCTGAGAAAAAGATAGAGCGGCTGGTGAAAGGCTAGAATGACAGAATGAGGATGCTCTCATTTTCATCTCAGACTCTGTATCAACAAACCATTCTCCATTAGCTGATATTGAAATGATGATATAACCAACAGAACGTCTAAAATCCATTTCCTCAACGCTGAACTACGTTGTATGAATTCAGTGACTCCTGTAGACACAATCAATCAATTCAGTGTATTCACATTTACAATATTTGCTAACTGTGTTTGCTACTATTTAAATACATTTTTTTATCCTTGTGTCGCCCTATACAGTAGCCGTCTGTTTTATGTTTCAGTCCAGCAGACTGAACTAATAAGTTCCTGATGTGGCTTCTATAGCTATTAATGAAGCCCTGGATGCAGACCAGAAGTCGCTGGGTTCAGATATAACTTGATTTACATCGATAGTGAACATTTTCCTCATGGCCCCGAATGCTTGTTGGGGTTTCCTCCAGTAGAACGGATTGTCAATTTTGTAAGTTAGAATCCCATTAGGAACGTAATAAATGACAAACAAACACAAGTAAGTGCAGATTAGCTTCATCTTGTAATACATTTATCTTGTATAAATGTTTTTTTTTTTAGGAAATTGATTTGTTCTTTGCAGCCAGTAGGTCTTCACTGAGAAGCTACGCTTGGAAACAGTTGACAAATAGAAAATTAGCACTTTGATGCATGCAATTAGCATTTCTAAAGCTAGCCCAGTTTAGTTCTAATAATGTCAACTAGATCATCTATCACCTAGGTTTATGTAGAATTACTGGCTCAAGGACATCTGATTTTATTGAGACATTCATTAATTAAGACATTGACTTTGGTAAAAGGGCCAGTGTAGCTTGTTGTTTTGTAGATCCCTCTGCTAAAATGTCTCCGCTTTACACGATTTAGATGTTGTGAACTGTATATGTTAGCATTTAGCTTCACACGGCTGCTGGCAGTGGTTGTCTTCACTGGGTTTTCATCATATTTGCAGTGTTTTTTTTTTATGTCAACCAAAAATAACTGCCCCACAATAGTGGGACACTGGACAGCTGGTTGTCTCTGTATCATATTCAGATGTTGTGTATCCTAAATCTAACTCACCGCAATCCGCTAAGGCTCCCGAACTTATGATAATAATGACTGAAATATCACTGTTACACAACAGAACTACACAACACCGTAAGCAATTTACCTAAAAGCTTGTGTTTTCCATTAAATCAAACCCTTTGACATCAACTGTCTGTTGTGGGATGTTTGATCCAAGAACCAAACGAAGAATATTTAATTTATAAATGACTATAAGACATGTTAGCATTAAAGGATTAGCCTTGAAGGACTCAGTGTCTCTGTCAAAGTCATGTGCGCTAATATTAGCATAAATTAGAACATATCTTAGAAGCTCTTCTGATCGAACCATGGCTCGCTGTGTTCAAATGTAAATACATTTCAATCTCTGTGTACAACATTTCAGTGCGGCTGCTCTTTTCAAGCCTGTATTTTTAAATATATTTTTAACCATTTTTTCCCACCATTTTTCTCAACAGTATCTTGGCTCCATGTTGGTGAAGGAGCTCAGAGGGACGGAGTCCACACAAGATGCTTGTGCCAAAATGAGGGTAAAGCATGGCTTCACATTAAAACGATGTTTTCACCAAAAAATATAGAATAGTGAAAAAAAATAGCTTAAAGATTTCTCCAAACACCTGGGATGGAAAAATGTAAAAGGTTTTATGTAAGAAATTTGATTAGTAAAAATTTGGATTCAAATTTACCCTATTCCCTCAAACTGATCCAAGATATTTCTGAAACACGGTCATTCAATTAGGTAAAATTCCCTTCTTCACTGGCTTCCTCCTGCTCGCAGTATCCGATCTTTTATCTCTCTCTCCATCTCCTCCACCGTGGAGGCAGAAGGAGATGTTTCAATTCCATCTTCACAGCCTGTGGCTGCCTTTGTCAGCTTCTTTTTCACCACCACCTGATCCTGCCAGGACCAAACGAAGAGCAGCAGCAGCAGCAGCGTGCTGTGAGCAGGGAGTAAAGACAAAAACAGAACAAAGGAATGAAAGAGATTTGGAAAAGATCAGAAAGAGGAGAGCAGGGCAGAGTGTGGTAGAAACACAGATCGAGGCGAGATTGACGTGATGGAGTCTCACGTCTTTTTCTTGGTCTTTTTTTGGCAGAGAGAATGACAGTGAGGGGACCGACGCCGCTGTCACGGCTGTAAATCTTACAGCATCTCACTGCATAATGAGTTCACACACAGGTGATCCAGACGCCTGGAAGAGCCAGTTTGTAATTAAAGAACTTGAGCAGGAGCCTGACGCGGTTCAAAATCAAACAGTTTTGTCGGGTGTTTTTATAGCTGACTGAATTTGGAATATTAATATAGACGTTGTGTTCTTACGAGGGAGCAGATAATTCATCACCACTGGAGATGATTTAAATATTCAATTAAGGTTCAGTTGAATTATTTACCACGTCGGCTTCTTCTTTTATCATGGAAATAATTTTGGCATTCGTAATAAAAACAATGCATCTTTTAAATGGGGGCATTGACAGCTTTTTATTTGGTCTACATGGTTCTTTAGTGATTGGACAGATGGTAGCACAGGAACATAACTATTTATACTTTGGCTTTTCTGCTTTTCTTGGAATATTGGTTTTCGTTATCATTTTAATTTATTTTTTACGTTGAACTGCGTTTCCTTGTGCATCCTTTATCATTTTAATTTTTTGTTTTTACGTTGAACTGCGTTTCCTTGTGCTAATGTGTATGTTTTGTTTCTTTAGGTAAATGGTAAGCCATAATTGCAATCATTTTTGTTGTGTCTTAACTAAAGGATTATTTCATGGTTAAAATTTGAGTCACTTTTTTTCCTGTTTGTTTTTCACTAACTTTGAGGTGTTTTTGCTAATGTAGCAATTCATGCTAATGGGATTGAATTGCTATATTTTAGCCTTGCTATACAGCATACTATATATATTTTTTGTTGGCTAACTTCCTGCTCTGGTTTCAGTTAAATTAGAAATATATTTGCTTACTTCATGTGGCCTGTGGACTAAGAACTTGCTGTTTTTCATAGATTTGAAAATTCTAGCGTGTACCTAGCGTAGCCCTTTGTTGCTTGTTTTGTTTGACACATTTTATAATTTATATGTATTAAACATTTATTAAATTACAGTTATTTGCTTCTAAAGAAATCTGACGTTTTATACATCAAAGAAGCAGCGTTTGGCGGTGGAGTGCACACTTTTTAAATCCAACCCTTCTTGTGAGGATGAGGTCGATTATGTCGCTAATCCTTCCAAATCCGTGACTACTACTAATTTTAGCAGTCTAGTGTAGAATGTTTGACTGAGTCATTTATTTACTTTTGTCATCTCTGTGTGAAAGTCATGTCTGCCTCTCTCTCTCTCTCTCTCTCGCTCTATTTTCTCTCCTTCATTTTTGCGTACCTTCCAAGAAGTCGACAGAACAGATGAAGAAAGTGCCAACCATCGTCCTCTCCGTGTCCTACAAAGGAGTCAAGTTCATCGACGCCACAAATAAGGTAACGCTCACGGCTCCTCACTGAACGGCACATTAAAGGTCAGCAGAGCAGCAGTAACATTAGGGAGAACGGTGGTGGTTTCTCAGGTGTGGCAGCCCTGACGGTTCCTCCTGCTGCAGCTCAGCTCAGGTTTAGAATGAATACTGGTGCTAAAGAAGAACAAGAAGCTGCCAGGGTGTAATCAGAATGGGTTATTTTACAATTGTTCTACAGTAGAAATTTATGCCAAGAACCATTGCTTAAAGTTGTAAAAAAAAAAAAAGGTAACTAGCCTCTACACTTTAGCCTAAGGGTTCAAGATAGCTCCAAACTTCTTGGTATCTTTTGGTTTCTCCAGCTAATTTAAGTTATAGTGTGTGCTAGGCAACGTTAAGCTAGCTCTAAAGCTGCCAGGGTGTAATCAGAATGGGAGAGAAGAGCTGACGGTGAAGGTTAACGTCACTGAATTAACTTCGTTGCTCCTGAGTCCAAACCCAAACTCAGTGATTGGTAACCAGACGGAAAACTGGAGTTATTTTACAATTGTTCTACAGTAGAAATTTATGTCAAGAACCTTAAAGTTGCTTAAAGTTGTAAAAAAAATATGGTAACTAGCCTCTACACTTTAGCCTAAGGGTTCAAGATAGCTCCAAACTTCTTGGTATCTTTTGGTTTCTCCAGCTAATTTAAGTTATAGTGTGTGCTAGGCAACGTTAAGCTAGCTCTTAGCCACATTTATTGGTATTTTTCACCAATTTTCATTCATGTATCTATTTTTTATTTGTTTTGTTAGCCATGGAGAGCTTACTTCCACCTATTTCTGTTAGAAATGTTCAATTTGTATTTGTAATTATTGCAGTTATGTACTGGATTTTTGTGCTATATTATCAGCTAACCCTTAGCTCCGTGAGGGGCTTTATAGCAAAAATCTTTTCCTGTATATGTTCTATGATCAACAACAGAAAAACAGACATATATTGGTGAAGAGTCTGGTCGTCATGTAAAAACCCATTTCTCTGAGTCAGACTTTTTGTTTTGTCTTGTCATGGTTGTTAGAGAACACAGGTGTGAGATAGAAACTGTTGACCTCGGCTCAAAGCACAGCTCATTTTGCTTTGACATTGAATTTTTATCTTTATCTTTAGCAGCAGAACAGTCTGCAAATGCACACCTGGATCCTGTTGGACAAATATAAGGAACAAGGCTCATCATAAAAACTCAGATCCGCTGCGTATTTACCTTCTTGTCGTCTCTCCGTGGTTTAGCAGAACATCATTGCAGAGCATGAGATCCGGAACATCTCGTGCGCAGCTCAAGATCCAGAGGATCTGTCGACGTTTGCCTACATCACCAAAGACCTCAAGTCCAGTCACCACTACTGCCACGTCTTCACTGCTTTTGACGTGGTCAGTGCCCACCAATCACCTGACTCTAATCACTCTGTTGGATCCCACACCCGTTTTACGTGTGCTAATCTTCTTTGCTCAGAACCTGGCGTATGAGATCATCCTCACCCTGGGCCAGGCCTTCGAGGTGGCGTACCAGCTCGCCCTGCAGGCCAGAAAGCCCGGCCACGGCTCGTCCACGCTGCCCGAGAGCTTTGACAGCAAGCCGAGCAAACCTGTGCCCAAACCACGCATCAACATTCGGAAATCTGTAAGCAGCACCGACACACCAACATGAGTGAATGTTCTTTTTAGATGGATTTTTAAACCTTATCCCGTCATTTATTTTTAACGTCTAAATGCTCTTTTCATATCAACGGATCATTGCATCATTTTTTAATGTAGAAATAGTAATTTTCTTTTCTTTAAGCATCATAATCTTGACAAACATCTCATCTCTCTTGACATCTGTCCGCGTCCCTCTGATCTGATTCTCCGTCCTTTAATCTCGTTCTTACACAAACTTACCTCATTTTCAACTTTGTTTTTAGTGGAATTATTCTCAGGATGCTCGTGTTTTGTATGCAGCCTGTCAGTTTTTCCCACTCGAGGTTGTAGCTGGATTTTTGATCTCTTAAACGTCCTCGCGGTCTGGCCGTCCCTGCAGTGTCTCACACACTCCGGGTTGATTGATGAGGTCTGTGTATTTATCTGTGACGAGAATCACAAAAAACCTGGGGCATTCTTTTCTAAGAAGGGAGTCCGCTCACATTCTGTAGTACGGCGGTGCACGAGCTCCGGCGCAGTACGTAGCAGTACATTCTGATGTGGTTCAGGTTTGAATCCGTATTCAGACATGAATCCTATGCTGACATCAGGAGACGTCAGTGTTTCAGACCAGAGACGGTGAATAATAAATGGGAGCAAACAAACCCCATCAGTGGTTCACGTAAAGGGCCAGTTATAACTGGACGACTGTATAATGGTACTACATAACATATTCATAAAAAACGTCTCTGTAGTTATATATTTAATCAAGTTGCAAATATTTTACAATTTCATTTCAAAATAAATGCTCCACATTTTGCCCCGGTGCTGTGATAAACTCACAGCCTGACGTCGTCACATCGACTTTAACAGTTTTCCTCAACAGTTGCCTCGACTCCATGACACCAGATACTCCGGTCACAAATTCTGATCCTGAGTGTGTGTGTCCACATGAGCTCCTCTGTCTTGGTGTCTCCACAAATCATAGCGACACAGAGTCTGTCTTCAAAACCCGTCAACCTCACATTAGCCCTCGCTCCGATTCAAAATAGTCGCAGTAAGTCACTCGGCACACGCTTCCCTGTGTCCTCTGATACGCAGCAGCTGGCACCGCAGCATGTGTGTGTGTGTGTGTGTGTGTGTCCAGGAGAGGCTGGTGTAGAGTTACTGCTGCTGCTGCTTCTATATCAGTGTGTCTGGACAGTTGATGATGTACAGAGGCCAGAGGCCTGGAAGGAAAGAGCGGGGACGGAGGGGAGTCAGTGCTCATGGTCTCTGAGGTTAGAAGAAATGAGAGGAAACACTGAGGAACGAGCATGTTATAGGACTTACATAATATATTGAACTACAGTAAAGACTTTTTAATAAAATACTTTAGGTTTTTTGTCTAGTATTTTTTAAACGTCTGTCGAAACGAGCAGAATGTGGTGTGAAATGTAAAGCAAAATAAAAATAACAGCAGGACGGTTGTGCCGTCCTGTGCAGTCTGTGGAGATGAGGAATGGTGGTGTGATGTGTGTTCACGCTATTTGCTGACTCGGCTACACTCATATTAACCATTAATTGCCTTTTACCTCCCCGTGCTGGTGTGCCTATGGTGTACATCAGGGTGCAGCGCAGGAACCACTTAATATTCCTGCCATCGTCTCCGTCATCCTGCGGCAACATGCAGCCCTGTGTGTGTGTGTGTGTGTTCTAAAATACTGTCCCTTTGTTTTCCTGCCCACCAGTATCAGTTTCTCCACAGCTTCACATTATTATTATTATTATGATCTGTGTGTTATCTGAGCTCATCTGCTGTTAAATCTCCTTCAGCATCCATTTAACTTAGCCTTAAGAGCGTGTCTGTGTCTGTGTGTCTGTGTGTGTGTGTGTGTGTGTGAGCCCGCCAAGTCTTTGTTCTACATCTGTGTGCATCAAAATAGACTTGAAATAATTATAGGAGATGGATCTAAAGTGTCTGGAAAATGGTCGTCAGTGTTGGTAACAACTTATCTCTGTGCTCAACTGTCAGCCATTTTTAAATGACACTTCAGCCCGCCAAAAAAAAAAAAAAAAAATTAGATACCAGTATTTTACCTAAATATACATGTGGTATAAATGTGCCCTCTCAGTCCTCGTTGGTGGGTTGTAACACACGTATCTTATTATGATATTTTAGCTGTGGCTTTCAGTGATATGATCTTCTAACATCTGAACATTTGACACAAGGGATAGTTATAATGGACTAGAACAGGCATGGGCAAACTAAGGCCCGGGGGCTGGATGCGGCCCGTTCAGCTTTTTAATCTGGCCGCCAAACTTTTCAGAATTATATAATTTATTTATATTATCATTATACTTCTGTCTTTTCCCTGCGATACCCACGTTTTCCCACTAGATGGCATAGAAAATGACAAAAGCATATTAGCATTTTAGCTAATGTTATTTATCTTAGATCACACGAAATATTGTTCATTTTTAAGACAATTAAAGACGCCTGATCTGTAATGGTTAGCTTAGCTTGTCGCACAGTGTTAGCAGCATCCCAGAAAAATCACAGCATTGTAATATTTAGGTTTGAAAATAACTGAGTTCCTTGTTCATTTTTAAGACAATTAAAGACGCCTGATCTGTAATGGTTAGCTTAGCTTGTCGCACAGTGTTAGCAGCATCCCAGAAAAATCACAGCATTGTAATATTTAGGTTTGAAAATAACTGAGTTGTCCAAATAATATAACATAAAAAAGGCTGATTTATAGGTAAATATAAAAATATAGTAACAGACTTATGATTAGCCAGAAGATCACCACAACTTTTGACAAAAAAATTAGCTTCAAAAATTTTAATTGCCAACAAGCTATTTAGCTCCAAAAAAAAAAAAACAGGCATAAGTTTAGCCAAAAACAAAATGGCTCAATTCTAAGCCAAATCATGATAAATGTTAGCAATAACAGTATGTAACAAACATATATACAACTTTGCCAATAGCAAAATAAACGAAAAATTTAAGTTAGGCGAAACACTGCTAAAGACTAAAATTGCTTAAACTATGAAATAACAGATGACCAAAAAAAGAAAAGACAACCAAAAAAAAGTAGCCACAGATTTTTAAACTGCTAACATCAGGAAGACAGATATCCAAATTATTGTTGCTTTTTTGTTGTTAGTCAGAGTCATTCTGACCTGTGTGTGACCTCCACACCCCTGTAGGTCATGTGCCCCTCCAGCCGCTGGTCACTGGGTCACATTTACACCCCTCACCGACCTCCTGTCCATCCTTCTCTTCCTCCTCCTCATCCTCCTCACAAAGCTCAGCCTCAGGTTCTCCACACTTTTCTTTCCTTTTCCTGATTTTTTTTTTCCTCCTGATTTTGTTTTCTATCGAGGAGAAGTCTCTGCAGTAAGTGCTTCGTTTTTCTCCTGCTGCTCTCTTCAACTGACTGCATCCCTCAGTGTGTGGTGTTTGCACTGAAGATCGAGGTCTCGGTCTACGATTACTAATCATCATGGGGTTTTTTTTTATCTATGATTATTCTTCATTTATGATAACCAATGTCGGCCACGTTACTCTCAAACAGTAATTGGTTATAGTTACTAGTCCTTTCACAAAAAGTAATGAGTTAGTTACTTGATTACACTAAAGAAATAAGCAGCTAGCAAGGAGAGTAACTATGACATTATTTTTTTAAGTTTAAATATGTAAGAATTTTTTTTTACCTTTTTATAGATAAAATTCAGAATAAAATGCAAAGTCAACCATTAATCACAGTAATACACTATATTAATAAGATTCTGAAAAAGTCTTCAAACAAAAGTTTCTCTATAGTAAATAAAAAAGTTTGCATAAAAAAAGTTAGTAACTCATTTAACGGCAAAGTAAATAAAAAAGTTCTCATTTGCATAAAAAAGTTAGTAACTCATTTAACGGCATTTTTCCCATAACAGGGGATATTTGTTTCTTCACTGAATCAAACCACTCCCCTTTGTTGCTTTATTTAATTGACCTTAATTGACCCTTTTGTAGATAAATATATATTTAGCTATTTTCTAGCTAGTTCCCTAAAATCAATCCCCACTAAAAGCTATTTGAGGCCCATATGTTAGTTTTATCTCGGCAGGTTTTTGGCATGTTTGCTCACAAAGTTACAACTACAATTTTACATATGTTTGGTGCTTTCGAACTTTTGAAACAAAAATTTGCATTTTCCAGCCGCTCTGCTGTCGTATTGACTTAATTAGCAGCACGTATTGGTTTGCTTGCTAACAGCAAAATGATCCCGGAATTTATATTGAAATAAAAAAACAAACAATGAATCTGCCTTTAATAAAAAGGTAGCTTCTTCTCTCACCTCTTCCACTTTTACCGAATGGTTTTCCTTTTCTGTGTCAGATGGAGCAGCCGTCCATGGACCAGAAGGGCCACGCCAACGTGCCGTGGATTGTGGAGCCGGGTCAGGAGGCCAAGAGAGGAGTCAACACCAAGTACGAGACCACTATTTTCTAACATACACCTGCCTTGTCCACTCCTGTGTGTGTGTGCCTTTCAGAGGTCAGAGGCCCTGTACTGGGGCCCCGCCCCGGAGTTGGGCTCGAGCGACGCACGCCGCCGTGTCACCTCACCGGCTGAAAAACAAAATAAAACCCCGCCCCCTCCCATTGCCGAGCCTGTCCACTGCATGATGACGTTTGGCGCTGCGCTGTCTCTCTCACTCTCTCGCTCTTCTTCTTCCTCTTCCTCCTTGTCTTCTTTTCTTCTTCCTCTCTTTTTTTAACACCCCCCGCCCCACCGTCTGTGGCCCCGGGCTCCATTTTCCTGCCTGCAGGCCTGGCGCATGACCTTTTCACCCAGGGCTGTGGGGCACTTCTGTCTCCACCTGTAGGGGGCATTGGTCAGCTTTGTTTTTCCCACTTCCTGTTTGTCGGTCAGTCAGCGTTCAACCGGGTGGTTTTTTCCGCATCTTTGTTTGAGATTTGAGTTTTTCACCTCTTGTTGGTGGGTGTCACTTTCTAATCTGTCGCTCCTCCTGCCTCCATCCCTCACTTTTTTCTTACAATTCAGCCACAGCGTCCAGCTGCCCCCCCCCCACCTGAAAAATTAAAAACAAAAAAAAACTCACTGAGATTTGCAACATCAGCATTCGTAACAGTGTTTTAACTGTCTTTTCAGCCAGATGTGAAGAGCTGACTATGCTGAGGGATGGTGTCTGAGAAATGACAACAGGAGGAAAGGTTGTTTTTTTTTTTGTTTTTTTTAGTAATAGAAGAGGAGAGATGATGTAGCACACAAAAACTTTGGCTTTGAACCTACCAGAATGTACTTCAAAGGTGGAGTATGCAGGAAGATTTCTTATTTTGGTCTGACGGGGGTGCTGTAAACACATTTGAAATACCACCAACTGTAGGGGGACAACATTATAGTTTCATCTAAATCTGAAACTTATTTAATGTAAATCTAAAACCTAAGAGAAAATAGCAAAACAAATTCACACAAGGAGTAAGAAAACAATTGACTGCATGAAGAAACTTAAAACTTGAAGAACAACTAAACTGTTTTAAAATGTTTAAAATGTATTATTCTTAGCGCTACCTTACAGTCTCATATTTACTCTTTGCCCGAAACAAACTTTTCACCACTCTAAAAAAAGGGAAAAAAGGAGAAAATACAAACAGACGGCGGCAACAATGCAAATGAACGCACCATCATACAGTCATAGTTGCCGATGATGAAATGATAGGATTTGTTTTGTGATTCCTGCATACTCTGCTTTTCATTAGACTTTTGTGTTCTTTTGGCAAACGTTCACAAGTTGTCCATTAAACAGCTTTAATCTTGACTTTTTACACATGAAAATTTAGGCGATTATTGCTTTTACAGCAACTTTTTTTTTCACGTGTACAATGTGTTGTTTTTCACGGCCATAAATCTTTTTTTTTTTTTTTTGGAGAGAGAAAAACTTTGTATGTAAAGTGAAGAACAGAAAAAAAAAGGTTTTCTTTTTTAGCATGTGGCTTGTGAGACGCATGGTGGCCATTTTTGGAATTGCTGAGCAGGGGGGCCGGCGGTGAGGCCGGGGGTGTGAGGGCTGTCTGGATAAGTGATGTCATCTCATTTTGCAGGGCAATGCCGGACGCTCATGTCTATTACTGTGGAATACAAAGAATGTAGCCAGCCCTAAACACGGACATGGTCTCTCACACACACAATGCAAAAAAAGTGGGACTACAGTGGACTTCCAATAAACATGGACGCCACCCGCAGTGTTTAAGGTTGACTGCAAATAAAAACATGCCTGAAACGTTAAAAAAAAAGGAATGGACCTGAACCCAGGACACTTTTTATGGAGACTTGATTAAAAGACTGCGTCTATGCAGACGACACTCTGCTCTGAATGTACACGTTTTTTTCTGAAACAGCCTCAACTTTTCTGCAGCTGCAGCAGTACCTGTTTTTATGCAGCCGACTCGGATCTGGCAAACTCCAGTCGGTACGAGACCGTGGACTGAGAAAAGGTCGATAAAAGTGTACGGCAACGTCTGGCTGGCTCTTCTTTGGTCGTTTCTTTTTTTTCCTTTAAAGTCAGAAAAAAAATAGGAAAACAGAAATATGCACAAGTGTTACACGTGACAAACACACTTCACGAAAAGGAACAAAAACTGCATCTGATGTTTAAAAAAAAATTAATAAAGTATTCTATTGATATTGCCCGACATTTTAATGTTTTAATGAGAGTATTATATTACCATGATGATGATGATTATTATGATTATTCTTGTGCAATTCTTGTCTACTGTTGTCTTAACGTCACATTATTTTTCTATGATATGCTAAAAGATGAGCTTGAGAATGAGAATGAGAATGAGAATGACGGCCGCCCTTTAAGAAATATAAAGTACCTGATGAAGATAGCAAATGATACTCAGAGAGTGAACGTCACTGACAGCTCGCTGCACTGGTCAGATGGTCATTTGTCACGGGACTAACTCGTGTATTTAGCAGATGTGACTATTTTACAGGCAGTATTACTGTAGGATCCGGACGAGGCTCGATCCACTTCTGAAAATGTACATATGTTATTTTGCCAACTCATTGTTCATATATGTAAAATGTAAAAGAAGTCAAAAGAAATAAAGGTTCGCAGTTTGTGGCACTGTAAAAACAAGGTACCAAAATAGACAGGTGGATAAATTAAAGTTGGAGAAGGAAACAAAAGAGCTGTGGGGAAGTGTTAAATGTAGAGACTGTATTTTGAGTAATACGTCAAAAGGGTTAGAAGTTCTATGACATCACTGCTGAAATAATGTACATAGGCTTGGGCTTCCAGCAAACTGATTTTTGTAATTCTGGCCATTTATTTATATCCTTGTAAAGCACATGAAATAAAAGCCACACTTGTACGACTATGAATGAGTGTTTGCGATGACGTGCTCTGGTCAACTCTCTGACCTGATACGTGAAAAAATTTCAGTCCCCAAAGGGGGGCATGACAGAAAGTAATGGAGAACCACTGCTCCAATATGTGCGCTGATAAAACAGAGCTGTATGGATGTTGGTTTCCATGGTAACCAAATCCCTATGCAGTTTGACCAGTGGGTTTCTGTATAAGCACACTGACACTGCAGTTACAGATGGACAGCTAGTCAACACGGCAGCCAAGTACTGACTGACTGACAGGATTAAAACTTGGACTAAATCTCTTTAAATGTGATATGTGGAAAAATTTTGATAAATATTTTTGGAAAAAAAAAGTCAACATTTTATCTTTCCTGCATGTTTCTCACCATTCAATTCAAGCATTTTAGAATTGTATTGTATCTTTTCTGGACATTTCTCATCAAATTTTGAAAAATCTTTTAGAATTTTTTTTTATTTGGAATTGTTTGGTATTCATGTTTTAAAAAATCTTAAGAAAAAAGGTTTTGGTTAGATGTTGAAAAGTTTTGATGAAAATCTTTGAAAAAATGTTTTTCAAAATTTAATCTTTTCTGCATGTTTCTCATCAAAATTTGAAAAATATTTAGAAAAATAAATTTTGGTCAGATGTTGAAAAAAAATCTGAAAATATTTGAAAAAAAATTCAAAATTGTATCTTTTCTACATGTTTTTCATCAAAATATAGCGATTTGAAAAACATTTTTAGAAAAAAATATTTAGGAATTGTTACAAAAAAAATGTTGGTCAGATGTTGAAAAATTTTGATAATAATCATTGAATTTTTTTTCAAAATTTTATCTTTTCTGCATGTTTCTCATCAAAATATAGCGTTTTGGGAAAAAAATGTGAGATAAAAATAATTTTTTTGAAAAACTTAGAAAAAAACATTTTGGTCAGATGTTGAAAAATTTTGATGAAAATCTTTGAAAAATGTCTTTTTTGCATGTTTCTCATCAAAATAGTGATTTGAAAAACTACTTTTGAAAGATTTTTAGATTTTTCAGATGTTGAAAAATTTTGATGAAACAGAAAAAAAAAATTTCAAAATCTTTTCTGCATGTTTTTCATTAAAATATAGCGTTTTAATAAATATTTTTGAAAGCTTTTTAGAAATGTTTTTAATGAAAATTTTTGGAAAAATGTTTTCAAAATTGTATCTTTTCTGCATGTTTCTCATCAAAATATATTTTAAACAAAAATTTGGTGATTTTTCAAATATTCATATAAAAATTTGAAAAATAATTTTTTGAAAACCTTAGAAAAAACGTTTTAGATTTTGATGAAAATCTTTGAATTTCTTTTTTATTTTATCTTTTCTGCATGTTTCTCA